TAAAGCTACAGCCCTGGCAGAACTGTAAGAAAAAAACCATATCCGTGGATGGACAGAGCCTATAACCTTGAACACAATCTGTAGAGGAAGTACATTTTATACTATACTAACAAGTGTAAACACCTGTTTCTAGGATGACCATGGATATGTCTTGACCAGTAGGACCCCTAGACCTAGTGCACCACCATGTGTGGTTCAGTACCTCTGCATCCCACTTTCAAACACATTCTGTGTGACCTTCGACACATCATCTTTGTCCACACTGACATAGTCCCAGTGTGGGTTCCAAGACCCCCTTTTTGAGGTGAAAAAACCAGAATAGGCGCAATGTACTCTCTAACAAAGTTAGTTGCATATCATTTAAAGGATGTTTAGATCAGCCCCAGCAGTTTTTGCTGTGCTTTTTCTAAGCAAAATCTTATGTTCAGTAGTTTGCAATTGCTTCTGAGCGGTCAGCTCTCAAAACCACTTTCGAAACCAACACAAGACAAACCGTCTGCAGCTGGGATCGAACCCAGCACCCTGGCAAAGTGCGTTCGCGACATCTAAGCCACAGATGCCAACAAGCATGTTGTAAAAGTGAACTGATGAGGGTCGTTTTTTTTCAGAGTTGGAGTTCATCTGCCTGAGAGGCAAGAAACCAACAGTCTGCTTACAAATAAACCAGATCTGTAAATTAGATGTGAATGCAAATTTCAAGTTCTGAATAAAGAAATGGATACATTTTCTGTTTGCTGGTGTTTACAGCCAGTGAACTGAAAGAAGTAAGCAGAAGAAGTAGAAGACTGGAAAAGCCAAAACATTGATTGCTGAAGATGACCTTTAACACAGGACAGACCATTGAATGTTTCTAGTATATATAATTTTGTTTGAATGTACTTGTTTTTCAGTTTTATGCACCTTGGTGTGGGCATTGCAAGAATTTGGAACCGATCTTTAAAGAAGTTGCTAGAGAATTGCAGCAGATGAACAGTCCAGTGAAAGTTGCTAAGATGGACTGTACAAGATATTCTCACATAGCATCTGAATTCTCTGTCAAGGGATTCCCTACAATCATGTTGTAAGTAGGAATACTGTTGGTCTATATTGAGAGTTAGTTCCATGGAGATACTAGCATAGAGCAAGGCCAAGTTAGGCCTTTATCTGTTCTTGGTCTTTATATAATGAGATGTGGTTTCTAGGTTTTATTCCTCATAATCTTTTGCCTTTAACACAATCTCTAGAAAGTAATAAAGAATAACTTAGAATGATAGGAAAATAAATAAGGCATCCTCGAGACAGAAGAAAATATAAAATGTTTAGAGACATTAGAGTTAGACATTCCCTGTTTTATGGACATATTGTGAGAAGAATGGACTCTACAGCTTAGTTACAACTAGCGAGATTGATGGAAAAAGAACAAGGGGAACAGTAGAAAAATATCATATGACTGCTGAGGATTGAACTGTTTTAATGGACATATTGTGTGATAACTGTGCAAAACTGATGCATTTAGAATTATTTACAATTCGGCCAACCGTAGATTACTTCGATACGCGGAAGCTTCCGCGATTAGCAGATTGAAACCGGAACTATGTAGGCAAAAAGAAATGGTCGTTGCCCTACGCTTACCTTGGTGAAACAGTTTGAAATGTACTCGAGTTTGTGTTTCAGTTTCTAGGATTCAGCTATTTGCTTCATTTTAATTAATTGTTACTGTAGTATGCACTTGACGAGATACAGCGAAATATGCCAGGCAATAAATTGTGCAGTCTATTGTTTGTGTCTTCTTTGTTCAAAACTGTTTTTGGCATCTTTTTCTAGACAATTTTGTTATGACACTGTGGAGAGGCATAGGAATCACAGCACTTGGGCAGTGGCAAGTGTGACTAGCAAAACCAGCTTGTGATAAGACATAGGAACCCCCATGCACTTTTTCTGCCTCTCAACACGGAGCCATCGGTGTAGATGTGTTGCACAATTTAAACATGGGATTTCATGACCATTGTTGCCATCATGTTTAAACCGTAGCACAAAGCTATAGCAGCCAAGCCTTTGAAGTTCATTGCTGCAGATACCAGCTCCGTTCATCTCTGTGACTGGTCTTCTCTTTTCACTTGATTGTTACAAATGTTTCTAGGTCTGAGTGCATATGATCTCTCCACTATCTTCTTGGTCTGCCCTGTGGTGAGCTCCCATTTAACTCTTTTGTGTATGCAGTTTTTGTCTTTTATTTGGCATTGTATGCACCAACCATTGCAGTTTGCTAGTCCTCATGATGCATGTAACTAGTGCTGATCTGAGCAGGTCATGAATTTCATTGTTGCTTCTCACTTTCCATTACTACTGCATGAAACTGGTAATTTCTGTAGAGACAGATTAGCTGACTGTCACAGAAGTGGCAGCTACACCAGGGACAAACAACTCTAAAACACTTATGAGCAGAGGTGAATAAGGTGTAATCTCCCCTGTGCCAGGCCCTTGACAAGACAGTACTCCCCAGTACCCGAGTCCACTTGAAAGAACTCATTGCACTGAGGGTATGGCAAGCACCAGCTGTGTGAAAAGTATCTTTTACTTTTGCTGTTTTACTTTCCCTCTGTAACTTTTATGTCACATTTTCCATGTGAGCCTTGTTATCATTGTCATTCTTTTAATTCTGTTAGCATTGGTTCTCAAATGTACTCACTTGTCTTGATGTCTTATAGTCTGTTTCTATATTTCACATTCAAAGTTACACACGCGTCTATAATGAGTCTCTTTTATACATATCATAGTTTAATGACAGTGAGTAACCAAGTGTGCATACAATTATATAATTCTACATATTTGAGAAATATTGTAGTTATACAATGAAACTGTTATAATTTAGATTGCTGTGTCCGGGGCATATAAAAAGAATGGCAAGCAAAGAGCTGAATAGGAGTAGACCATGAGGCAGACCAAGAAGTTGTAAAGTCAAAGTAAAGGACCCTTTTCCACGCCTTTAGGCCTATATGGCATATAGGTCTAGACCTATATTTTATAGACCAACGGCACAAGATGGATGATGTGGTCAGCATCATGCCGGCCGCCTCTACTTCCTGGGACTACACCCGGTACCCTCTCAAGGCTGGGTTGACCTGGGCGCCAAGGTCCTGTTTGAAGAAAAGTCCGTCTCTGCCAGGGAGCAAACCCATGACCTTCCGATCCATGGTGTGAGTCTAGCCACTCTGCCATGGTGACTTCCTAAGAAGTTGAGGAAAAGATAATATACAGGAAGAGCTGGAAAGAGAAGCCAGTCACAGAGATGAATGGAGGTGGGTTATATTTACAGCAATGAACCTCAAGGGCTTGGAATGCTGGAGAAGAAGAAGAAGAAGAAGAAAAAGAAGTTGAAGAAGAAGAAGAAGAAATGAAGAAGAACTATTTTAAATGTATAATCTGTTGAACTTTATTTCAGCATACAAGGGGACAGAATGTATACTCACAAGGAAGACAGGACAAAAGAGAACATTCTAGAATTTGTTTTGAGAGCACAAGGGTAGGATGTCTCTGTTGTTGTCCTGTACATTCTGAGGTTTTTTATAAAACCATAGTAGCTAAATGGTTAAGCTATTTGCCTCACACTTTGAAGGTCATGGGTTTGTTTCACAGACTGTGTCATTCAATTTATGAGTGCAGTTTTTACAGAGGGGCCTGGGGATCATTGATGGAACTGTGGAATTCATGCTTTGTGCAATGCTCTCCACATATGGCTAGGCTGTGCAAAGGGACAAAATCATATAGGATGAAACCTGGTGCAGTAAAGGACTTTTCTTAACTCAGGTGGGTCTTGCTAGTCACACTCACCATCGCCATGGGCTTTGAGTCCTATGCCTCTTCATAGCGCAGTATAACGCTATCGTCTCTGAAGAAGGAAAGGTGCCAATCAAATTTAAAAAAAAACTACACTGGACTCTGAAGCGATGTGTGCCATTATGCACAAAGCATACCTGTCTCCACCTTTCTCAGCATGCTTTGTGAGTCAGTTACAATCACAACATGTGTTTGCAGATGATTCTCATGCCAATGGAAGGCTGCAGTGGCTGCTTCTACCTCCAGTTGCAAACTAGACATTGTGATATCATATAGCAGGCTTTGTTGTGCTGAGAGTCATCCATTCGTTTTTGCAACAACCCCCATGCACTTCTTCTGCCTCTCAACACAGAGCCATAGGTGTAGATAATCACATCACCTGGGTGGGAATCATCTTGAACCAGCTGTTGCATTTCTGATTCCACAGTACCTGCTGGCCAGTCGCTGCACTCCCAACCCAATATGCTTAGAACCCTACTAAATTCTGCTCATTGTTTGGCCATTCTCATCCACTTATCTCCTTGCCTAATATTTTCAGGCATGCACACATGTCTAATTGTGTCTCACAGGCAGGATAACAGCTGAACTGGGTGACCAAATAGAGTGGAAAGTAATGTTAAATGATAGTTTCAGATGGGAATAAATGGAATATAAATCCAGGAGTAGGGTTTCCTTGGAAGCCAGAGTGAATCTGCCTGAGAGGCAAGGAACCAACAGTCTGCATATAAATAAGCCATATATAAAATGAATGTTTACAAAAAACTCAAGTTCTGGATCAAGACCAAATTCTAGAAGTGGACGAACAACTAGAACTTTCTGCAGGTGTTTACAGCCAGTAAACAAGAAGAAGGAGTAGGGTATTTCAGGCTGGATTAATGTTAGGGATCATTCTTAAGCTGCTTGTAACAGTTTACAGTTCGAATGGTTTAGAGAGAACAGTAATAATGGGTAGGTTCTTGGAAGAAGAGATGGGGGTTGACTAATAAAATGGTGGAAACAGGATATTATGTACACCTTTAGAATAGAAGTTCATGAGGCGCTACATTTTGAAGGTGACTAAATGGCCTGTAGTGTGCCAGAATTAGAAAGACTGCATTCGATCTATTGCAGTATCACGATAATGGTTTAAAATAATCATGACTTTCATTAATTTTTGCCTGTTGTTTGTTCTTGATTGCTCGCAGACCTGCAGTTCGCAAGTTGGCTAGCGTAGGCAAGTTTAATGAAGCTCTCAGCCAACACAGTGACTCTGTCTTCTTTCTCTACATTGGGAATGACGATGAGCATGAGGATCTCTTTGTAAGTTATGCAAACATTAACTTGTATCATTTGCAAACATTTCTGTTCGTTTATGCTGGTGAGATGGAGAGGTCAAACAGACAAAGGACCAGAGGTTATTAATGTTTTAAGAATCAACATCACAGCATACTAGGCATACCCATAGGTGCTCTGTCTCCAGCAGCAGATGACATAAGGTCTAGATGCTTACTGCTCCAGTAGCAAGCTGGTGTTCTCACATACACAAGGTATTGGCTTAGAGCAAGGAGACAGTTCAAAGATGGTAGGAAAGAAAAGAAACACTTAATGGCTGTCTGAATTTTATTACACTGTAGAACTGCTGAATAAACATCATAATCTGCACATTCCGTGGTGACAGCACTAGCCAGGGGGTCCTAAATCCTCAGGCTCAAGGCAACCCTGTCTACACCGCCCTAAAAAGTGGCAAAACAGACAGTAGTGACAATGACAGAAGAACTGCTGCATCTTCCCCCATAACATACAGATCAAGTCATGGACTGTTTCACATTAAAAAAAATAAAATTAGGGCTTTTGAGCTGAAATGCTATAGAAATATTCCATGGACCAAGAAGACAAGAAATATTGATCTCCAAAATATCTGAATGTCAAATAAAATTGGCTCGGAAACTGAAATACTTTTGCCATATCAAACGTCATGGTGGACTGGAAAGAAATGTGATGGAGGCATTGTACTAAGTAAGATAACCAGGGACAGACCTGCACGAAGGTGGGGCATAGGACGTAAGAGACATCCTGGGTTTAAAGGTGACTGAGGCAGGAGAGCTGGTGAGGGACTTTGTTTCTTTCAGGCATGTTGTGATAGGAGTGGTGTTCTGTATAAAACCTGCTACTTGATGATGACAAAGAACTGCCGCCCTTCATAAAAGGTATGATAAGCTCAGTCGTAGCTGATTTTCAGAAATAACACACTTTAAATCTTTCAGCCCCAAGCAACATTTTTTTGACGAAAAAAAAAAAAAAAAAAAAATAAAATAAAAAATTGAAAGAAAACACATATCTATATATTTTTTTTATGTACCTAGAATTAAAGAATAGATAATACATATCTATATATTTTTTTAAATATCTAGAATTAAAAAATATTAACAATGTGAACTACAGTAAGTAAAATAAGTAAAGATCCCCTTTCACGCCTTTAGGTGCATTGAGCATATATTTTTTTACAGACCCATCGGCACTAGGTGGGTAAAATGTAGTCAGCATTACGTCGGTCATCTTTACTTCGCCAGGACATACATCCTGGTACCCATTTTAGGCTGGGTCGACCTGTGACGCCCCATACCCTGATGAAAATTCACACAGCCAGCAGTGGGTTTCGATTGTGGTACGTTGGCATTAGGAGTTGGACTCGCAATGCCTTAGCCATAGACGCCGCCACTAAACTACCATACATGCAATAAAAGGCACCCCAGGTTTGTCTTGAGTGACTTCTTCATCCCACAGAAAAACTTAGCTCTAAAACTCAACCAAGGATGAAAAGTGTGAAAAGACTAAGCCATTTAGCTCATGGACTGACTGACTTGTTTTGGACTTTGCTGTTCACTTCACAATGCAAGATACTCTGGATATCTCTCTGAGTTATCAGTGTAATACCACTAATATCAACAGTTATAAGACAAAGAAAGTGGCACTGTACTGGGCACATCTTGAGAAGAAGCAAGATGTCCTTTACCAAACAGACACTGAAGTAGGAACCAGATGCATTTAGGTAAAGAGAAGGAAATCCTAAAACAAACAATGTTGAGAGAAGCCAAAGGTACTAGACAAGATTTCATTCATATCTAAAGGACTGCGCAGGACAGAATAGAATGGAGACCAGACTCTGAGCCTTTTATGATGCATAACGACATGGCGGGATGGCGATGATGATGACACTGTACTTATGGAGTTTCCTGCTTTATCCATTGCTCTTGGCAAGCAATCAGCAGTGGAGTGGGACGGAGCTATATGAGATGAGACCCAGTGCAAGGAAATCAATCTATTTGCCTTGAAACATTTTCTTATCTTGATGGAGGAGATTGGGGCCTCACTACATAGTATTCCCAAAGACAGCAGTGGTAAATTATGGCTGACGTTCACTGTGGAGATGTCACAGGACTGTTGCATCTTGGTTGGGGGTTGTGCTTGGCTTATGTTGCAGGAGTATTAGAAAGAAAAAAGAAGAGTATTTTAAAAGAAACCATACTTTGTTTAACAGCTTACATTGTGGATAATAAGGGGAAAAAAAAATTTCTTACAACCTGTTAAACCAAAGTTGGCAGGTAATGGAAACATGTTGATGATGGAGGATGTTCCCCTCTAGGATAGCTGTTCATAGAATTGACACCTCAAGGATGAGAATCAGGAGCAAATCCCAGAAACCTTGCTCAGCTATGCTCATTCAGTTTTTTCATTGTCCAGTTGTGCCATTATGTGTCACATAGGGCTCACAGCCTATTCCTCCATTCCGTTTTATCCCACGCAGTCAGATTTAGCAGTTTTATTTACTTGATGCCGCAGCTGGTCATAAAAGTGATCATAATCCTCAGTCTCAGCATCATTAGTTGAAGCATAACACTGAATGATGGTGGTCATTTTAAAATGTCTTGTACTAAATCTAGCTCTAATTTTTCTGCTTGAAATAGGCTTCCATTGTAGCAGACATTTTGCAAGTGATCAGCTTGTTCAGATACATAACACCATTATATTAAGGAGTCCCTACGGTTACAAGCAACCTGCACATTAACTGAGGATGGGATATAAGGTTGGGAAAGAGGGTAGTGATCTTTATTTATACACTTTCATAGAGACATACTGATGTATATACGACCAGGTGATCCTTTTTTTTTTTTCATTTTTCTGTCCAGAAAAAATATGTCTCCTCAGCAGAAACCCACCTCATTCATTCCTACTTTTACTATGGAAGGAGACATATTATTGAGGTGAGATTAATATTGTTATTGATGTAGATGTATGTACATTTGTCATCTGAGATTTAGTGAAGTCACAGTAAGGGTAGGTGATCCAGCATTATGCTAACACAAGTTAATATAAGTATTCTCTTAGGGGTGGTTAGAAGGGGGTGGGGGGGGGTGGAGGGGATGGACAATGCAACATTAGACAAATGATTTGTGTATATCAGCTTAAAGAATTACTTCTTGTGCTTCATTGTAAGTTGATGTAAATTCTGTAGTAAACACTGAGGAGATACAGTGAAACATGCAATCAGTTTTGCAAGACAGTGTCTGTGGACTCGTTTAAATTCACAGAAAATATTGTTATGAATTTATGTACATTTGTTTTTGCAGATGTGACATGTTCATTTAACACAAGCCAGTGAGTGAGTCTAGATTTAAGGATTATAATAAATAATTGGAAGTCAAAATTTTTATTAACAGTGGTTCAGTTAAGAGGAGCTCCTGGCCTTATTGGTTAAGGGTACTGGGATAAAAACACATTGCATGCAAGTCATGTTGGTTGAGGCCACAGTTTACATCAGTTGCTTTAGTTTAAAAAAAAAAATGATTTCTGGGAGTGTGAACAAGTAATTTTATCCCTGCAGCTTAAATCCAGCAGTAGGTGTGCCTCAAAAGTGTGTTAACAGTGCAGAAAACGTTTGTTATATTTGTGGGAAAGGGACATTTGTAAGCCAGAAAAAAATCATCACAGCAATATTGAAAAAAAAGATGCATGCCTGTTAATTTGGATGCAAAATCTGAAACCAGGACAAGGCCTGGGCCTGTATCTGTGTAAGAACATTTCTAAAGTGAATGAAAAGGGAAAATGTGTCAGTGCCCATTACAGTTCCTTTGGGTTGGAGAGCCAGCAGTCGTGTAAATGACGGCTCTTTCTGTATGTGCAATAAGTCGTCTTCTTGAAGACTTTGGGCTTGTCGTCTAGGAGATGATGTGTCTAGTGAATGCCTTTAGCACACATTCTTACGATGACATAACTGGGTCAAGCCAACACCGACTTCAACGTACGAAACAGTTTATTGACATCCCATCACTTACATAGAAAGTCCTGTCCATGTCCTTGTTTACAGCTTGCACGCACCACATTACTCAGATGTCAACATGCTGACTTTTCACACATTCATCGACCAGAGTTCGGCGCCTTCACTTCCACATCACTGCATAGATGGATCTGGTTGTTACCACAGACTTCACACACACTGGCCTGGCTAGACTTGGCTTCAATGGATGTTGTCATCTGGTCTTCCTCTCTCAACAATTAGTCTCACATTGCCATTCTCCTGAACACTCTCATGTCCTTTCGCTCTGACGGTCAACACATACTAACACATACTAACTGATCAGACTGGGGTCTGAACTTTTACCCAGTGTTCGTTCTATGTGGCAACACGTGGTTGTTCTTGGGTTCCACGTGGCGACCTGTGGTCATTCTCCTTTACTTCCATATGATAACTCGTGGTCGTCCCCTATCTTGAAAACCTCGTTTAATCCGCGTATCTGGCTTCTCTCGGTATTATTGTTAGCTTGGGGCTTTCCATCCAACCTTCCCAATCAGGGTGAAAATATCCCCCATTACAGTATGATTTCATCTTTGCCAGAAGGAGGCACAAGAAATGACTGTAGTGTACCAAAATATACAATCTGCTCCCTGACCAGTTTCACACGTTGAAGGACATTCCTTTCCCAAATCTCCAAAAGACATTGCCATTGAAGAGGTTGCCTTTAAAAGAGAAGGACCAATAAAAGCTGTTCTGTAGCCTTCATCATCTTATGATAGTGTGTTCATCTGCACCAATGCATCATCTGCGCTACACATTCTTGCTCAAGAAGAAGTGAACGTTCATGTTTTTGATCTGGAGCTGTCCATGGTCACAGCAAAGTTATTTGGATCAAGACTTGAACAATGGAATCTCCTCAAGAAAAATGTTAATGTAACCTTTTTCTGCACTCCTCATGGTTAGTTTGCGCATTACTTAAGAAAGGAAAATGAACTTGTATTTTGTTCTGATTCAGACGGCCTGACTAATGCTTCTAAAATTAAAGATAACCCAAAAGAATGGTGACTATTCATAGACTCAAAATTGAATCCTATGGCGGTGCTTTTGCATAATGGTAACCGATATTCATCTGTTCAAGTCAAACATGCTGTCTACACTAAATAAACATGACAAACCTAAAACAGATGACACACCATATTCAGTACCACAAGTATCACTGGCATCTTTTTTGTGACTTGAAGTCTTGAAGGTGCTAGCTCTTCTGACAAGTCTGCATTTGGGAGAAATGATACCAAGGAAACAGGAACACGTCCATGCTGGTTGATTACTGTTGGACACTCATCAAAGATGATCCTGAGCAGCGACACAGATGTCAGGCAAAGCGACGTCGGAAGTAGATATGGCTTTGTACCAGTATATACCATGTGTCCATCATCATAGTGCTCTATACTTCTTATTCGTTACTTGTTCAGTAATGAATACAACATGTGGCATCTTTTTTAGAATAAAATAACTCATTTGTTGCTGTTCTTTGACAATTAGGATTGAGGGTGTGGGAACCATAAGTGTCTGCATAATATAAACATATAACTCTAATATATATATATATATATATATATATATATATATATATATATATATATATATATATATATATATATATATATATATATATATATATATATATATATATATATATATATATATATATATATATATATATATATATATTTTATTGTACTTCTGATTTTTTAAAATTTTTAGTCAATGTTGATTTTTCATTTTCAAATTCACGCTCAGCACCTTGAAGTCTGTAAACAGCTCTTTTTATCTCATGCTATGACTTGGTCACATTTTTGTGTGTCCAGTGTAATTTAATTTAATCTATACCTTGCACATGATTCACGGTAGGATCAACGAATTATGTAGAAAATAGAAATAATAAAAGAATAATTAAAAACAGTGTTTTATTATTTTGTTTGAATATAATTGACTCAGTAAGCCCGAACCCTCACAGCTTTTGTGGTAAACCAGTAAAATGAGCTTTAAATTACACATAATCCCAATTGAATATTGAATTTATCTGTGGGTTTCATTTTTCAGGATAGAACCCTGCAAAGACACCCGACTGTCCTGGTTTTCAAGGATAAGAAATATTATGAATATGAACGTGAGTATTCTTGTCTCCTGCCTGTGGCTGAAAAAAATATACAATAATGTTTTAGCAAGGGAAGTAAGCATGCTAGCCATGTCAGTAGAGAGCTAGTCTGAAAATACATTCGGCTTGAAAAGAGGAATGTAAACAATAATAGAACAGGGTTTAATTGACAGTAGAGCAGAGTAGTGTGGGCTCTGTGGCTAAGTCGATGCAAACGCTTTGTAATGCCGGGATGCCGGGTTCGATCCCAGCTGCGGGCCATGCGCCTTGCGTTGGTTTCGACAGTGGTATCAAGAAAGCCGACCGTCCAGAAATCAGTGGCAAACTACTGGACGTAAATTTGCCTAGAAAAACCACACAACAGCCAGGGGCTGTTGGGGTTGGTTTTGCAACGTCCTGTAAATGATACGCAACTAACCTAGAGCACAGTAGTAGCCGACACAAAAGTGATGCAATTTGTAATAGGGAAGTATTAAAACATTGATCATAATATTCAGTATCATAACTAGCATAAGATCTAATGGGAGTGCAGAAAAACAAGCAGTGGCCTAAATAGTACTAACTTATATAAAGGCAGCCAGAATAAAATAGACATTGGCAGTATTAAACAGAGTTGGGTAGGTTTATAGTTAAGCAGGGTTATGTATAAAGTGGTACAGGTTAAAGAGAAAGTGTAACAGGATTAACTAGAAAGCAGGGCATAACTAAATGCCACCACAAAGTTCAAGTATCCTGAACCCCCAGGTTCTAGCGCCTATTCTGGGAGAGTTAAATGCAGTGATTGGGAAAGTTAAACTGAAAATCTACAGGGTTATATAGAAAGTGAGAAGTGAATGGTTCTTGGTCAGTAAGTTGCAGACTCCAGAAACATCGATACATCTACATCCTACCAAGTTTAATCACATGGTTATTGTAGATTTCTCTGGCTGCTGAAGATGAGGACTGAACACATGGGGAATGTCCCAAGTGTTATAATGTTAGTTCATAACTTGACTAAAACTAACCCAACTCTAGAAAAATACTGGCAGATCACAATGTGCTGATAATATAGCACCCTTCAGTCAGTAACACTTTGTGCTTATCATTGTGTCCGCATTGTACCTTAAAAAGTTCTGTAAGATGTTATTTTGTCACTTCTTCTTTTTCTTCTCTTCCACCTTGTACCTCATCGAAGTGTTGGGGAGAGATGTAACATTCGTTGATGAGCTCTGTCAAGAGCACTGTTAAGACTGATGCTTATTTCTGTAAGGTTTGTTCTTAATGCCATCACTCCATAATTTCTGAGGTCTTCCACTCGCTCTATACCCGTTGTAACGTTTTAGTGTGGCTCGCTGTGGCAGATAGTACCAGGGCATTCTTGCTAGGTGTCCAAACCACTTCATTTGTTGTTCTTTGATGACCTGTAAGACTGGCTTTATTCCTAGCATTCGTCTGATTTCGTATTCTGTCTTTCCTTGAAACTCCTGCAGCTCTTCTACGACATTTCGTCTCTGTTGACACAATTTATTGTTTATTAGAGGATGTAAGTGTCCACGTGTGGCACTCGTAGCATAGTGTTGGCCAAAGAATAGTTAAGATAAGATTCACTTTAGTACTCCGGGGTATCTGCTTGTGTCAACGGGGTAGATAGTTGCCCCATTACTTGATAAGCTTTTATTTTTTTACTAATTTAATTAATCTTTTTAGTCCACTTGTTTGTAAATGCATGCTGCATTTGGCTGTTCAGTATTGCTTCCGGTGTTTTGTTAAGTAATCTAGTCTTTATTTCCCTGTAATCTTGCAGTGCTCTGGGATCCACTGGAGAACAGTATGGTTAGCTGACTCATTGGTTCAGCAGAGATCCAAGTCTTTTAAACTGTAGTTTCTTACATTTTGTATTGCTTGCAATGCTGACCAAGTATCTTTCAGTATAACTACTTCTGATTCAGAGCCGCATTGACCACTTCCTCCAGTACCATTTCCTCCATTTTGTAATAGGAGAAGTGTTAGCCTGTATGGAGGCTGCACTCTTTCATGTCACCCTTGGTCCGTTCCAAATGGATTCCTCGTACGGTCTGTTTGATGTTATGTTTTCTCTAATTTAATTAATCTGGAAAATTTGTGTACTAAAAAATGGTTCCTTCTTCAGCTCCCGACGGAATAGTAACAGCTTCGTCTTTGGAGAGTTTCATCAACCGAGAACGGTACATCACTTTCCCTAAAATGAGTGGTCCAGGTTTGAATGAAATGGTCAATGTGGCCAAGTATCTAGTCATCTTAGCTGTAGACTCACAGGAGCTGAAGGATGCTGGTTCAGAAAGTGCAAGGTAAGATTTGTTCTGTCTAGTTTTCATGTCTGTGACAGTTATAACTTGATGTTGACTTCCTTTATGTGTCATTACTTCTATAACAGGTCTCGCTTGATTTGTTATTTTTGTTTGTGCCATCTGGCTTATAGTAGTTCTGACTTGTGGATCTCTGTGATGACGATATCAAATTATTTGCCATGCACTCTAAAAGTCATTAATTCATTTCTTTCATGAGTGCAGTTTTACACTATTATACTTATGCGCGAGATCCATGCGAAGGAATTGAAGTGCGACTTCTGAAGGCTGTCTGCACAATCTGAATGGTGACTGCCTGTTGTAGTTATCTGAAGCATGCTTATGTGCCCTGATATGATTACCACGTATGTGCTGCTTATTCTGCTGTCTGTGCAAGTGCTCATGAAATGGCGGTTATTCCCAGAAACATGCAATTGCTATTTTAATAATTTATGTACTATTCTACTGATCATTTCTTTCTTAATCACACTCCACAAAGCATACATCTCTTTACCTTTTCTGCTTCATACTTTTGTTACATAAACTCATTCTACCTGATTTATTATGTGCATCTTTCTGTCCCAAAATTGAATTATCTTTTAAAGAAGAATGTTACTATAATGTACATCAACTGTGGGATAGAAAGGATTGAAATAGCAGTATTCTGGTTTTGAAAAAGTAATGACTGTACAAAATATGCCAGAAGCTTTACTTGTGGCTAAACTCAGATTGCTTAAAAAGACACAAAATATGGAATTGTCATTGCCTTAAATTTGAAATGGTAATTATAGTGTTTAGTTGATACAATTTGTAATATATAAAAAAATAATAATAATTAAAAAAAATTGTTTCTATCACAAAGCAGAATCTTCCACATCATCATCATCATCATTCTGTTATTGCGTTATACGTCACATAGGACTCGCAGTCTAGTCCTTCATTCCGTTCTGTAATCTTGAGATTATGGGTGGAATCCTCCTCCTTCTTCTTTGCGTTTACTGGCTGTAAACTGCAGCGGAAAGTTCTGGTTGATCATCCACTTCTGGACTCAAGTCTTGGTCTAGAACCTGAGATTTGCGTGCTTATCCGTATTACAGGTCTGGCTTATTTTTATGCAGACTATTTGTTCTTCGGCAGCATCTGTGGCTTAGGCGTTGCAAGTCCGACTCGTAATTCTAACGTACCCCCATCTAAACCCACTGCTTTCTGCATGGATTTTTATCATGGTATAGTGTGTCACAGGTCGACCCAGTCTAAAATTGGTATCAGGATGGATGTCCTGGGAAAGTAAAGACGGCCGGCATAATGCTGACCACATTACCTACCTGGTGCCGATGGTTTGTAAAAATATGGGTGTTCTTTCCATATACCCGATGTGCCTAAGGCATAAAAAGGGATCCTTACTTTACTGTTTTTTATTTGCTCCTCACCTCTGAGGCAGGTGCACTCTGTCTTTGAAGGAAGCTCCCAATTAGTGAACTCTCACGACAAGCTTTTGGGTGGGTAGACAGTGGCTCTCTTCTTGTTTCTCTAACAGAAGGGTCTCGCAACCCACTAATAGACCTTATGCATTTACTGCGTGTGTGTATACTGTTAGCTCTAAATAGTCATTTCTTTTGACATGCTTGTTGGAGGCAATGGGTCTGTTACTTTTGTTTTGAAAAATGGAGCTCCAGAACTCACAGGGGAATGATGGGCTATCCTCCGAATAACGGGCGGTAAAGATGGCGGCCGCAAAATATCCTGACGAGCCACGTTCATGTGTCAATTGCGCACTAGCGGTCACGAGCAGATCGCGGGAAAACTAGGATTAGTGTCTGTTGACAATTTCAAGAAACGGAACAAACCGCCGAGTTAAACTCGCCGCCGAGAGTCTCACACGTGCCGCTACACGCAGCGCGGATGGGGCTAAACTAGATGGCTGGGACCCACGAGCAGCAGCTTCCGAATCTCCTGCAGCTTTGCTCATGAGTCCTAGCCATCTAGTTTAGCCCCTATCCACGCCACGTGAGAGCCGTGGGGGCCACTCTCGGCGGTGGCGGTAGTACGCTGGAAGTCCCAATTGACACGTGACTGAGGCCCTGTTTTTGGCCGCCATTGCGCGACATCTTTTGTGCTCGTTATTCGGAGGATAGCCGGTTTGTGGACGCTACCAAAGAGAAAGCTGCATTACCAATCTGGTACGAGCCGCGCCTAGTTCGGATCGTACTTAGCCGAGTTTCAATGGCGTAACAGGCACAAACAGCAGATTTTCGGGCACTATTTACAACTTCTGTGCCATAATTTCCAGATATAAAGGCATAAAATTATCGGTAAGTAGTCGATTTGATATAACATTTTTTCGTTCCTTATTAGTTTTGACTTAAATTTTTGAATGTTTACAACACATGACACGTGACTGTGGCTTGTTTTTCGGAGGATAGCCGAATGATGAAAACCATTTGCCTCAGTAAATAACATTCAAGGTTCGTGGACAGCCTAGTTTTTCTTAGTCCATCTCTTTCCCATTTCAGTTCTTTCACATTGTGGAATTATTTTTATATCAGGACTCTTCAATAAGAAAGAGAAATTAAGCATTTTGTCGTTTACGGTTTGTTAAGAAAAATTGCTAAACAGCCGTTTCAAACTAGAATTGCTTTAGTTATCTCCCTTTGTTTCTGACCAAATTTCTAAGGTAGGACAATACTGTAAAAATTGATGGGGTTTTAT